TCTGTCTCCGCAGCTGTGACACGTGCCTAACTCTGTCATCCTCAGAAGGATGTGATTCACTCATTGGCTCACCGCTATGTGCCAGGCCCCCTGTGCTGAGGGTCCCGAGAACAGACAGCCCCACCCCTGCCATCTAGAGCAGCCGGCAAACGAGGGCCCGCAGGCCTGTTTTCGTACAGCCTTTGTGTACAAGTGCATTTCACATCTTTCAAGGGTTGTAAAAAAAAAAATAAAATAAAAGACAGAAACCACCTGGCTGGCCAAGTCTAAAATATTGGCTCTCTGACCCCTCAGAGCAGTCTACTGACCCTGACCTAGAGGTGAAGAGAGAATGCATGGAAGGTGCTGAGCGCAGGGCCTGGCACATAGTAGGTGCTCAGTCAATGGCAGCTGGTGGCAGTGACCGCAAGTGGATCAAATGCCTAGAGAGACACAGAAAGTGCTGAGCAAAAGCCATCAGCAAAAGCAAGCATCGCCGTGCACTGGATGTATTAGTGGCTGAGAAACGAGCAGCCAGGAGTATTTCTTTCATTGAACAAGCTGTCCACTTCATGGGTGGTAGCCACGTGGTACAGATAGGGAAACTGAGGCTGGCCCAAGATTATCCCCGACCCATTCTTCATCACCACCCCCCAGGGAAGTGATTTGCTAGCACCTACTATGTGCTTGGCCCCAGAGGGGTGGTATGGTGAAGAGTCCGGCTTCGGGCTGCGTGGCCTGGGTTCCACCCTACCACGTGGTCGTGAGGGAGGTGCCCAGGGACTGGGCTGTCCCTGCCAAGGCCACAGTGCCTCCAGCTGTGCGGCGTCTCTCTGTTTCCCTCCTGCAGGTTCCCTGGCTAGGGTGGCTGACCTCCATGTAGGAGCCACCCCAGGGCCCCTGCTCCATGGCCAGGCAGGCATGGCCCCCCCGGGCGTGCTGGGCCTGGGCCCCATGACCAGCCACAGAGCCAGCGTAAGTGCAGCTGCATGGGCTGGGGAGCGAGGGGGCAATCTGCAGGCTTGGGGTCTGTTCAGTCACTCTGACCCTCTGTCTCTTCCTCTCCCTGCCCCTGCAGATGACCCAGTTCCCTGTTGGGGGGCAGCCCCCCTCTAGCCTGCAGGACCCAACGCAGATGTACTCTCCGGCTTCCCAGCCACCGTTCCCGCTCCCCCGAGGCACCCAGCAGGTACCAGGGGCTCGGAGGGGCCCTGGACTCGGAGACAGACACCCCTGACTTCAACTGGCCAGGAACCCCTCTGAGCCTCAGTGTACTCCCCCAGAACATGGGGGTAACATTCCCCGCTGAGTCCATGCCACGGGCTCCTTCCTTCAGTTCTCCCTAAAACCCTGCTGTGGGTGCAGACCAGACTGTCTCCGGGGGGCTGTCCACCCCACACCTCATCTCGCTTTTCTAGCCCAGGGTGGGGGTGGGGTTACCGTGAGTGATTTATGCCCTGTCTCACCGTCTCTCTCTCTGCTGCCTGTACCCTGTCCCTGCCTGTGGGAAGTGCCCTCCTGTGGGCCTGTATGGCTCCCCGTTTGGGGCACGACCTCCCTACCCCCAGCCCAGCATGGCTGTGCATTCATCTCAAGAGCTGCACCCCAAACACTACCCCAAGCCCATCTATTCCTACAGGTGAGGTCCCGGGTGGGCCGCGGTGAGGGGGGCTTGAGGGGTGAAGGATGCCTGTAGGGCCCCTCGGACAGCCAGGTGTGGTGGCCCAGACTTCCAAGGGTGGGGGGAGGGTTGGGGACTGGGAGCCCCCAGGTGTGATACGCTGTCAGGAAGGGCCACCATGTGGTCAGCTGACCCCCAGGGTTGAGAATCCACTCCAGAATTGGGCCCAGGGCAACACTCTGTCACTCACAAGCTGTGTGGCCTTGGGGAAGTGGCTTGGCCTCTCTGGGCCTCAGTTCCCCCTGATGTCTAAAGTCATCAAAATAATAGTATGTGTGACTCACAAGGTTTGGGGGAGGGGAGTAAACAGCCTCGTTAACGTCTAAAGGCCCACAGACATTATTATGGGGAAGGGATAAACAGAGGAAAAGATGGGGTTTCTCAAATCGCTATCAATGGCTGAGCTCAGGGTCAAGGAAAAAAGGGCAGGGGGAGGGGAAGATGTAGGTCCCTGAAGAGGTATCTACCGTTAGCACCATGAGTGTCGGGGCTGGTGCCCATGGGTCAAGCAGGGCAGGCTTCCCGGCGGAGGGGACCTAGGGCCGTCGGCCCGAGACGCCTTCATGCCTGGCCTGCCCACCTTCGCCTCCAGCTGTCTGATCGCCATGGCCCTAAAGAACAGCAAGACGGGCAGCCTGCCTGTGAGCGAGATCTACAGCTTCATGAAGGAGCACTTCCCCTACTTCAAGGTGAGGCGCTGCAGCCAGGTGGGGGGCAGGGGGAGAGACGGGTGCGAGAGCTGCTCTGACCTCTCCCGAGCCCTGTCAGACCCAGAAATGGCCCCAGGCAGAACCGAGCCCCCCTCCCGGGCTCCCTGTTATGCCTGAGACCTGGTGGTGAGGATGCTTGCACATGTGCACTCCCACAGACACGGGCAGAAAAATCCAGAAAGAGAAGGGGGTATTTGAGCTGGGCTCTGACGGATGAAGAGAAGCTCATGCGGCATCCCGGGGGCAAAGGGCAGAGGGGGCGACCTAGTTACTCAGCACAGGCTCCGTATAAAATAGAAGGACGCAGGACACACACCCGGTGAGAGCCGTTGCCTCTCTGAGCCTCGGTGTCCTCGCCTGCGAGATGGGGAGAGTCGTCCCCGGCTGGCAAATTAGCGAGGATTCTGCATGTCAAGGGCCTGGCAGCTCCTGGCACGTGGTTTCGTCATTAGTAATGTTGTCCTTGTTGGCATCAAAGGAGAAGGTCAGAGGTGCCAAGCTGTGGGGTCCCCAGCCTGGACAGTGTGCTTAGCAGAAATATTGTAAAATCGTGGCGGGAGGGGCGGAGGGGGAAGGGAAGGAGGGAGGGAAGGGCAGAGAGAGAGAATAGGGTACGGCATGAGGGGCATTACAGTATCCGGTTACCAAACAATAAACTAAGAGCATTTAAAACTGGCTGGCAGTTAATACACTTGACCGGTTATCCATGCATTAGCATCCTCTCGCTTGCTTGCTCCCTGAGTGGGCGAGAAAGTGGAAAACCCAGCAGCCCTGGGCCCTGTTCTCAGGTAGGAACCATGATGGAGCTGAGCTGTCGCTGCCCCTTTAATCAGGGCATCGGCCCTCCAGTTTGCCACAGTCCCCACCGCTCTCTCTCGTCTTCCCAACTCGAGGTTGAGTGTTGGACCCTGTCCTGTAAGCCTGCGAGGCCTGAGCCTGAGACCCCCCTGGAGAGAGGGTTTGCAGGGGGGGTCTCTGGAGGAGGCTCCTGCTGCCCATGTCTCCCCACAGACGGCGCCCGACGGCTGGAAGAACTCCGTGCGACACAACCTGTCCCTGAACAAGTGCTTCGAGAAGGTGGAGAACAAGACGGGCGGGTCCTCGCGCAAGGGCTGCCTGTGGGCCCTCAACCTGGCCCGCATCGACAGGATGGAGGAGGAGATGCAGAAGTGGAAGAGGAAGGACCTGGCTGCCATCCACCGGAGCATGGCCAACCCGGGTGAGGCCCAGACCCGCCCGACACCCCCATGAACACACACACACACATCACCGCCCAGCCCTCCTTCCCTCCTGTGACTTCATACTCTCCCTTCCCCACCCTCCCCAGGGGCCGCCGGCTCAGGGGCCTAGGCAGACACGTGACCAGCTGTGGAAGCCACTAAGCAATCCCTAGTCCTCACACAGAAATGCTGACACGGGTCTAAAAAATAGTAGCGCCCAGAGTGGGCAGGAGGTGGAGAAACAGGCACCTGCGTGTGCAATGGGTAGGAGTGTAAGTTGTTTGACTTTTCCAGGGCAAAGTAATAGGTCCAAACCCTGCACACTGTACCCATTTATTGGTCCAGTTATTCTGCCTCTGCCAATTAATGCTGCAGAAATCAAAGATTTGTATGTATGTGCATCTATCAACACTCACATATGCATATATCCACACTCATTTCCCTAGATAGTTGAATGTATGTGTACATACACACACACACACACACACATCTATACATGGATATCTATCTATATAAAAGCCTACGCGAACGTTTGACCGTCTGACTGGTAGTTATGCCACACACTGACCACCAGGGGGCAGACGCTTATATAAAAGCCTAAGCAAACAGTCAACTGTCCGTCTGTTATGATGCACACTGACCACCAGGGGGCAGAGGACTCTGTGACCCAGGCCCGGCCAAAGAACGCATCACAGCCTCCAGCTGCCCCCAGCGACTGGTTGGGGTCAAAGGGCAAGTGACCGAGGCCTGTGGGTCACAAGCCGTACAGAGCACCACCCAAGGACTCCCTAGAAGGGATGGGGCAGGGGCACCCTCCGGGGCGCTGACCTGGGAGGAGAGCCTGAGCGAGGGGGGTGGGGGTCACCATGAGACCATGAGGAGAGGGCGGGAGCCGTGACGAGTCTGACCTCCGTGCCTGACACAGGCAGGTGGGTTATAAAGAGAGAGAGAGAGAAAGACTGGAAGAAATATACCAGAATCTTTACCATGAATAGAGAGAACACTGGTAATTTATAGATTCTCTGCCTTTCTGTATTTCCCAGCTGGGGATCGAACCTGCAGTCTAGGTACGTGCCCTGACCGGGAATGGACCCTGCACAGGACATGCTCCAACGAACTGAGCCCCCCGGCCAGGCCGCAGTAATACCTCTTACTGTCTCTTACGAGCAGGGAGTGGCTAGGACCCCTTCCGTGCTCATTCCGTCCCAGCCTCACGGGCCTTGTGATCCCTGCCTCGCCCCCCTCTTGCAGGGCCGTGTTGAGGTTCAAGTGAAGCCCAAGAGCTCGGGGCCACCCTCTAAGGCACTGTCCCATGAGGGGAGCCACTGTCATGGTCCAGGGCGCCTCTCGTTCCTGCACAGCTTGGGTTTCATCACATTCCCACAATGACCCTGTGCAGCGCACGATGCCATCTCCTGGGTGCAGGGCCTGAGGTTCAGAGTCCGAAAGGCTTGCTCAGTCGCCTGGGTCCTCGCCCGGGGATCTGGGCTGCTAAATGACCTCTCCCCCTTGCCTGCAGAGGAGCTGGACAAGCTGATCTCAGACCGGCCAGAGAGCTGCCGCCGCCCTGGCAAACCGGGGGAGCCCGAGGCCCCCGTGCTGAGCCACGCCACCACGGTGGCC